CGGGCGGCTGTGTCGGGTGCAGGAGCCGGGGGCCGTGCTCCTGGCGCAGCCCGGCGAGGTGGCTCCCGACGGGGCCGTCTCAATCGAGTACGTGGCGGAGTGCGTGAAGCGTAACCAGCGGCTGCCGCTAGAGCCCTTCCTGCTGGCAGCCCGCGGCCGCCTGGCTTTCACGGAGGCGGAGGATGCGGCGCTGCTCCAGGCGGCGCGCGGCCAGGGCATGGTGCGGCTGAGCGGCCGTGCGCTGTGGATAGAGCTGGAGCGGAGCGGCCTGACGCGGCACAGCTGGCAGGCCATGCGTGACCGCTACCTGCGGCACCTGCTGCCGCGGCTCTGGGGTGAGCGGGGGCCACAGCGGCGGGGCAGGGTTGCGAGGGGACTTGGTGGCGGCGACCAGCATGGGTCGGGCTCCGCTGAGGCCTGGCAGACGATCCCCGCTTGTTTCCGCAGAGCCCCCGCAGACGGAGGATCCCACGCAGATCAGGGGTCTGTTCGCGGCAGCTAATCGGGAGTTCGAAAGCACAGAGGTGAGCGACCGGGGCCGGCCTGGGGAGCAGCATCCTCTACTGCGCGCAGTGCTCGGGGCAGGCCCTCCCCGGTGTCTCAGATGGCACAGTAGAAACTCATCATTAACAGATGAAATTAGTTTGCACTGCGATATCCCTTCTGCTGTGGCTAAACCGTGAGCTGTCACCTATGTGGTTTGTGATAAATGGTGCCTGGCTGGTGCATTTTTTCTTTCCTGTGCAAGTTAGCATGAGGAGGTATATGTGATGGGGGTTGTCACATTGAAAGCTGTATTGGCAAATGGAAGTCATTCTTTCACCTCAGGCAAAAGACATTCCTGCCGTTGCATCAACACTTACTTTTGCCTTTAATGATTAGTTTGTTAAAATTCTTCCGTATAGTTTATGGATTTCTGTGATCATGTGCAGCCATATTAACACATATGGCTTTGCTTCAGTCACTAGCTTTTACTATGCTTAGTAATTTCTGAGGTTTTAATACACTGTAGAGACAGAGTAAAAGGTGGTTGGTTACAGTGGTAAAAGATTTGCCAGAAAATACCATCTCTAACTGGTGATTCCATTTCTCTTACTATTAGTCAGAAAGCGACTCTTCAGATGTTGCAGAACATCCTACACAAGATGGAGTGAGAAGGTTCCCAGGAGAAACAGCATGTGAGCTGAAAACTGGGCCAGAAGACTCTGCTTTCCCGGACATTCAATTACAAAGGCAAGAAAGACCAAAAAGCACTTGTTCTACTTCCAATGTGGTGGGACAGGTAGTAAAAACTATGGAGCACTTCATGGAGAAGTTTGCTGTGGACCTGCTCACTGTTACACAGGCCTTTCTGAAAAACAGCGGTGATGTGGAAGCTACTTCATACTTTCTGCAGACAGGGCAGCGCTTGGATGGGTACCCTGTATGGAGCAGAGAGGATGACTTAGAATTGCAAAAGGATGATGAACATGTCAGAAATAAATTGGTAGCCAAATTTGGAGCTGGAAATGTAGAAAAGCGGATAGTGTTTAGAGAGAGTTAACAAGAGGATGTTACTGATCTAGTACAGTTGCATAAGTGTAATAGCCATTTCAGAAACAATGGAAAATTTGATCAAAGTTTGAGAAATGCTTTAAATTTTTTGTATTAAAAGGTCTATTTTGCATCTCTGCAGATCTAAGAGATGCAACTGCTTTAATCAAAGTAATGCTTATACCAGGCCATGTATTCTAGCTGGGAAAAGTACACCAGCTTTCAGGGCTATGAGTAATAGTTGAAGTAGGAAATGAAAGTTAAGAGGGAATGATCAGAGATTATATATCTATCACCTAAGTTGTGTTTGAGAGAGAACGCTATTGCTGGGATACAGTCATAATCTGAAAAACTCAGTACTTTTAGCCTGAAATTGTGCTCTGGTTACTTATTGTAATATTATTTGAAGCGAGTCCTAAAAATCTGGAATTCATTCTTTTGGTGAAATAAAATGGGCTGGTAAAGGCGAAGATTTTTGGGTTTTTCAACCTCTCTAAATAGTTAACATTTGGGGTTTTTAGCATATTGCACTGTGGCACTCAGAAAATTAAGGTGAAATGTGAAATGGCTGAGGTTAAGCCAAATTTAAATCATACTGAAAATAAAAAAACTATATAAATGGGACTGCTGCTTCAGGAATCAGTAGTAACACCTACTGATTATTCAATGAGTTATCCAATGTAACCAAATAAATGCTAAAACACCACTACACAGTGTTTCAGTGGACTGAAAAAGCGAGAATTATTTGGCATAGTCATGCTATTCAGACTTTGAACAGTTATTTGAGATTTGTGTGGAAGCCAGACAAGCACTTAATGAGAGAGTGCAAGACAACATAGCTAATAAAGTAATTGTTTTTTACATTAGGAATGTTACCAGCTTGGTTTGAAATCCAAGTTTTGCTGATGACCAGGTTCAGGAACTGTCACCTCTTGCAGCTGAAAACTCCCATTCTAGCTTGGACTGTGTAGACATCTCAGCAGCACCATAGAGTTGCAATGGTCTCGTTTAACAAAACTTCTCTAGAATTCAAAGTGAGAGGTAGAACGCATTAAATAACTGCAACATAAAATGGTCAGATTACCTCTACCTTTTTATAATTCTAAGTGGCACTTGTTTTAAGAGTGAGTTTATCTTATTGGAGCAATTAGTCTAAGGTGCAGTGCAAAGTTCTGAGTTCACATACACTGCTTTTGCTTTTGCAGAGCCTTATGGATCCATTGTCTAATGCTGAGAATCTTTCCATGTGTGCTTGGTGCACTCAGTAGGTGTAAGAACTGACACAAAGACCATAATTTACTCAAGGTTGCCCTATTTCTTCTGTTACGAGCTCCTAAAAGGCACTGCTTATCCACAGATGCACTTGCTTGTGCATGTATGTAGGTCTAGGTCTATTTTACCAGGTTAAAACCTGGAGGACCCAGAGATTACACCATATTGTATGGTTCTACTTCTAAAAATCCTTGCTTTTCTGTGCTTTGTCTTACCTACAACACAGTTATGCTTCTTTCGACATGCTGGAGACAGTTTGGTTTTCCATGTTCCTGTCAGATTCCTCTACTATCACAAAAGGTCAGGAGGGTTCTTTTTGTAGCTCAAAGAAGTTTCTTTCTGTTATTGCCTGGAGCAGCAGTATTTGTATACCTGGAAAAGTGAGCAAAGTGGCAATGCACATACAAGAACTTCGAGTTAAAGAGAATTCTACAGCCAGAAATTCTGGGTCTGCAAACTATTATCTGGAATTTGGGTACTTCCCATTTGCTTTCTTTTTAGAGTTAGCCAGCATTCATCAAAATCAATTAATTGCCATGCTTTCATAACTAGAGTTACCAATGCAAAACTGATTGTATGCACCAGTTTGAAGAGCAACAGACCAGAATACCACAGAGTTAGCTTTTAAATGTCCCTTTGACTGGAGACTTCTCCATCTTACATTTCACTGGTATAAAACCAGAGTTTGCTCTTCTGAACTTGTACAATGTATGCTTCATGTTTGTTTCTAAACAGACTTCTGTGATCTTTGTTGCATATGCCAAAGTCATAGTTTTACACGTCATCATCAGCATCTTGAGATTTTGGGGGATTTTTGTTGAGCTTTCTCTTTCCTCCTCCAAAAAGTATTTTAAGTTATCTTTCCTCGAATCAAAATAACTTTACATTTTCATGTGACCCTACTGGCAGCAGACTTTGCTGTTTCAGAAAAAAAGAAAATCTTACAAATGGTTGTATTGAGGAAACATAACTAAGGGACTGTAATAAAGACATACTGAAATCAACAATTCTGCATTTTCTCTGATTAAGGTTAGGAAGCAGAAGTGTAAGTAATTTTCAAAACAGTACATTAGGGAAATGCATCATGTTACTTTTACATCATTTTTTTACTGACTGGAAACACTGTGAAGGTTTTTATTCAGGTAAACACTTGATACACAGAATTGATTGCATCCACTGAAACAAATATTCATAATAAAACTTAAGCAGCTCAAGCTGACATTGGTTAATGTAGAGTTAAGGAGCAACATACTGAAAATAATCTATTTTTGCTCAGAATCCAGCTTCTTGGCACTTACAGGAAGAAGATCTTTACTATAACTTCAGTAAGAATGGGCTTCTAGCTGCTTTTAGCTGAATATGTTAAGGTTTATTTTAAAGAGACTATAAAGAAAAACGGTGGCTCTGTGCTTCTATGGTGCAGTGCAACTCCCACTTCTCTATGTCAGTATGCCTGTCCTAAATCTGCATAAACACAGTGTAAAGGAGGATACCTTGCTTTCAGTGAACTTACCATGAATCATGAGGCCAGTGCTGCCTGCTCAGCATGGATTTTGTCATTCAACACAATCCCTGGTAGGAAGACTATTAATATTTCTATAATACAACATCCCACCCTTTTCAGGGGTTAGGGGTTTAGCTCGAGGAATACAGATACCCATATTGCTAAGGTAGTGAGTGTTCTGTAGACGTGTGTTAAAGGGACTCTGCAGTTTACACATGAAAAAGGATATTCAGAAATAGGTATCCATAGGCATTTCACTCCTCCCCATATCTGGCAGCAAGTTTTTCTCCTTGTCTCTGGAACACTTAAAACCAGGTGAAAACAATTCTGTTGTTCAGGTTTGAGTTATATATTCCCAATGGAGGTGGGAGAATGGCATAGTCCATTAAATATATTTTTTTGTACTCCAAGACAAGAAATACTCTGACCAAATATTTCAATAGGAGAACTTCCTGATCTTCTCTTTGTTTCTTCAATCCACCCCCATTAACCTGTCTTCTCAGTTTTGATATTTATGCCAATGAAATCTGTCTTTACCTTGTCTTTAGGATCTCAACCTTAGCATTAATTCTTCCGGCACCCATGTGGACTGTGGGAATTCCCAGGAAAACAAGTGTTCTTGGATTTGAAAGCTAGAAGACAGAATTATTTCAGCTAAAAAATAAATGGATTCACATAATCACAGAAATGGTTTCCAGATGAAAACCCAGGAGTTTTATTTTCAGCAATAGCTGGTTTATTCCATTTTTCCACTATACAGTAAGTGAACACGAACATTTCCCCACCTTTGCCACCGAGGCTGGATGCTTGGTCACACAAATGGAACAAAAGAAAAATTGGCCTTGAAAACGCAACCATTAAAAAATACAAAAAACCCCAAAACCAACCAAAACACAAAAACCCACAAAATAAAAAAACCCAAAACAAAACCAAACCAAAGTCCAACATCTTTCCTGAAACCAAATGTCTAGTCATCCTTGCATCTTTTCTGGCACTACATATCCTGCGTGGCAGCATGTCAAGCAATGTTTTCTTTGTTCAGCTTCCTGTTATATTTCCTCTTCCTTTGCGGTGCAATTGCTCCATGTGGTTTCCCTCGTTTTCAGCTGTGGACTGTAGGGGGTTTGAGCTTCTGCTATCTGGTTCTACTCCTTTGGCATTCTGTATGCTCCAACCTAAACATAATTAATTTGGAAAACAAACTTGCATTACCTTAGCCTCCATTGTGGCTGTACCCCAGGGGTCTTAGAGGGTGACCCTGTGCTGCTGATAGCTCTCCTGAATGTAGTCAGGGTTCTTGTAGCACTTGTTCTTGCATCCGTGCACACTCCTACACTTATATGCCTGCACCTCTGTCCTCTTTGGCTCTAGTGAGTAGTTCAGCACTCTGCAGCCTTCAGAGAGTAGGTGCAGAGACCAGCTTTTCTGCCTTCAAAATTTGACACTCAGAAGAGTTCTGGGCAAACAGAAGATCCAGAGACATATTTTTCTGCTCTTCTTCAGACTGAACAAGCCGGTAGCCCAGCAAATCCATTGCCTCTTTGCATACATTTTGCACTTTTTCTATTTTCTGGAAGGGAAGTGTCTTTCTCCATGCCTGTGATACTCTCAGTGCGTCTCTCGACCCAATATCAAAGGCCTGTGCTCCATGACCCTTTCCATGGGTGATGTTGTGGACCCACTTCTGAAGCGCTGGTGTGAAATGGAGTTCTGCAAACCTGTACATCTGAGCAGCCCTTGCTAGTGGGTCTCTGACAATGTCTTCATAGCGAACCAGCAGATACCGGTCTTTCAGGAAGCTTGGAGCGGCCTGACTTCCTGCCTTGTATATCTCAACGTGGCTTTTGCAGATGACCTGCATTGTGTTGTAGGGCCCCATTTCTCCCTTTGTCTTCTGAGACCCCACAACAATGTTACTGTCGCGTTTCAGGTCTGCCATTGTATTCTCTCGGGACCTGAACACAGCCCGAGGATCACGTACCAAGTGAATGATTTTGAGGTTCAGGGATGGATCAGTGAGAAGCGGATAGAGAACTTTCAGGTCAAAGAACCTAACTTCCTTGATGGCAACATGGCTATAGGTTTTACAAGCTTCCTCCACCTTGCTGAATGGATACTTGCCACAGATGGTTTTGCAATTGCCTGCAGTGATTATGTCACTGCGACTGAATGAGTCACAGGCAGGTGGGGAACACAAGGCTCGGCTTGTCTCCCACTGAAATAAATCAGACTTTTTCTTCTGGCTAGACATGTAAGCATCAAACACAGACATGTCACACAGAAAGACTGACCTGACTAAGTCCCGCACTGCCATGTGTAGGACTTTGGCACTGTTCTGATACATCTTAACCCAAACATGCCATGCAGGCTCCATCAGGTAGAAGACACTGGGGTGCTGGCTGAAGATTTGTCCAGTGAAGGAGGATCCTGACCGCCAGGAGGAGAGAATGAGGATGTGAACAGGAGGAGGTTTTTCTTCCGTATGGGCGTTGTTGCTGCAGGGTAGGAAGTGGATAAGAAGGAAGGACAGAACTACCAGAATCAGGAGCACCTGCACTCTTCTAGACTTCACCATGATTGCAAGGGACCTGCAGAGACAGAGGAAGTTCAGCATCACAAGATGATGAAAAAGGCAAGATGCAGTGCATCAGGCTCCTGTGCATCCCTCCGCAGGCACAAGATTTGGGAAAGTTGCCACACTACTAGTGACACTGTGACAACTACCACACAAGGTGTCTTTGCAAAGGACACAAGTACTGCAGGGCTGAAGGTTTTCTGCAGCAAAACCACTGTTTGTCAGTAAGCCATTCTAATACAGTCTTAGAAGATACTGAAAAGTTTGTCTGCACTTCTATCAAAGTTTAAGAGCTAGTTGAGTGCATTGAAGTAAGTTGGTACAGACAAATGTGTACTTCACGTACATAATCCCTGGCAATTTTTATGAAGGAAAGATGCAGACCCTCCCTTTTTGCTGAGGTGTTCAGAATTAAACAGTTCCACATTTTACTTTTGAACACCTTACTCTGACCAATATTTACAATTATTTTTAAGCCAAAATGCTGTAAACATACAATGTAGGTTTCCTTTTGTTTGGATTGTACTCATTTTAAAATTTCAGGAAACATTTATTGTCACCACAGGGAAGACTTCACATACCAAAGGAAGAATCTTGGCACTGGAATACATCCAAGAACAGTATCTCCTCCAGACAGAGCTTTGTAGGCAATTTTGCTAGAAAGACCCATCTTTGTGTAGGCAGGCTTAACTTCTTACCTGCCGTACTAACCCCCTTCTTAGCCTAACTCCTTTTTAAAGACTGTCCCTTGCTATCCCTCCCTCCAAGCCCACTCATCCTATAGGTCTTTTACGAGAAGATGTACAATACAATGTGCTAGTTGAAGTCAAAGATCTGCCCAAAGCTGGGTCCTTGTTTCATACACTAAACCACTCTTCTGCCTCTGGAGGAGGATGGCTGATTATTGGAAAAAGCTGAAAAATTTTCATGTCATTGGGGATATGACATGAAAATGCCAATGAAAGAATTCATAGCCTGAATACCAGCTGGCACAGTAATCTGCAGGGAATACACCACTGAAGATGGGATCTGAGGCAAAAAGAATTCATTAAATTTTTAAAAAATACGTTAAAGGACAGTTTGCCAATTTCTCCTGCCTTGTGTGTTCTCCTGTCCCCAGCAGTGTCTGACTGTGCCTCAAATACAGGTTGGGTGTCTGCAGCATGGGCCACCCCTGGGGACAGGCTCCTTGTGCAGCACTGAAACTCAGGCAGCATGGAGTGCTCCCCATTGCCATCTGCCAGGTTGGCAGTTTAGCTGTGCCACAGTGGTAGCAAACCTCCAGGTGCTTTGTATTTTCCAAGGTGAACTAAAACTGAAAAAACTTCTCTGGTTTCTAGTCACGGTCAAGTCCTTCCAGGGGGATGCACAGCAAGACAGGACAGAGAGAGCAGGGCATTTAGGGCAAGATGTTAATCCCGGACAGAGCAGCATTCGAGCCCAGGCCCTTACAGCTTTGTACACTGCTTTTGTGCAGTCCACAATTGCATGAGACTCAAGCAGCTATTCCCACGCCAAGCAGCAGCCCCCCTACACAAGCAGCAGAGGTATAAAATCACTCAACTCAGCTGCAATGCAGACATTGCCTCCCTACTACATGCTTGCCATGCCATCTGGGTCCACAGGAATTTTGAAGGTTCCCAGAGTTTCCTTAACCTCCTCCTTATGCCCTGCCTCAATTTTCCTCTGCAGCAAAGCTTTCAGACTAATTTGCACAGCAGTTGCCTCCTCTCATGATTTCAGTTCCTCTAGTACTGATGTTTTAGATTTTTGTGTAGAGCCACTGCTGCTAACAAACGAGGAACAGTAGTAATCTGCCTACAACATACATGCATAAATTGGCTTTTTTATCTTAGTAACCTGATGTGCATTTGTGTTGAGCTTAGGGTTTATAAGGCAGCAATTATAATTTCTCAGAGTAAGGAAAATACCCAGCCCAATGGGTAAGTCTGGTTGTTGCCAACAGGTGCTACCACAATATGAATTTTACTTTAGTAATGTCTGGCAAGGATGAGGCTGTGCACTTAGAGAGGGACCACATAATTCCTGTCTCCTGGACAAGAAGCTCTCTGATTTTTTTTGGTAAAACAAATGGCCTGTAGTGTTCAGGTCTGACAATGAGCTGAATCAGGTTGCTATTTGGACCAACCCTAGGAAGAGCTGCAGACAAAGACTATTGTAAAAATAAGCGATAAATCAGCTTCTTCCTTCCAAATGAATACAAGCAGTGTTCACCAAAAGTCCTGGCTTCCAAATGAACTTTGATGATATCACTTCCATCTGGCACCATTAATATTGTTATTCTAACTCCTGACAGAGTTCCTGGAATATAGCCAGAAGCTGTAAATTGAGAAAAATTCTGTTGAGCAGACATGAACAATGGCATGAAGGTAGATACCCAGGAAGATTTAAAACCACAGAAATAGTTGTTTCTTTGGAAACCTACATGGGAGTTGCCTGAGTGTGAGAATTAAATCAGGTGGGGTTTTTTTTTGTTTGTTTTTTTGTTTTTTTTTCCAGGAAACAAGAGTATACTTTTGTCCCAGAGTAGAATAGCTAGATGTTTTAGGTATTTCACAGAGTGACTGCTTTTGATAGAAACGACCTCATGTGAGACCACAGTTTCAACAGCTTCTTCACTCACATAAGAAATAGTGGTAATTGTTGCCATCAGGAGTCTGTTGCACAGAGAGTAAACGGACTGAAATGAATTGTGTGCCTTTTGAAGAGGAATGAAAGAGCAGCATCATACTGTACTATCTATCATACATTCCCTAATATGAGAGAAATACTAATTATATAACCTTATTTTTCATCACTGTATTTCTCAATCATGAGAGATGGGATGTTTCTAAACTAAGGTCTTAAACTTAACCACATTTTCTCTGCAGCAAGCATCCCCAGTCACCACTGACGGAATTAATTTCATATTGCAAAAGTGAAAATATGAAGCCCTCACAGAGCTGGAAGATCAGCCCAGAATAATTGAGACAATCTCAGCTGCAGAACAAGAAAAGCACACTGTAACAGTGTGTGTGCCAACAGAGAAGAGCCAAGATTTTGCTGAGATCAGAAACAACTGGAAGAATTGCAGGGCACAAAGGATGCAATATAGAAACAACTGAAAAATAAAACAATCCAATGTCAACATGTTAGTGTCTCCCACAGCAAAGGTATGAAAATACTGCCTGAGCAGCTTGTTTAAAAAAAAAAAAAAAAAAAATCAGAGTCTTAGGCTTTTCTAGAAACTAGAAACACACAGGGACTTTGGAAAAGCTTAATCCTGCCAAAGAGCATGTGTTAAAGAAAGCAGCAAGAAGCCCAAGGGACATGTACCCATGAAAAGCACTCAGCATTGGGCACCATATCTCCAAATTACAGGTTTATTAAACGTGTGCATGTCTCTGGCAAGTGTGAGACAGTTACAGCCCAAAACCACCTTGTACTATGCAAACTAATGTTACCAGCCTGAGGGAGTGCTCCAGACATATACAGGTTCCCCACTATTGTAGCAGTATAACAAAGAAGATCTGGACCAGAGAAGCTCCTGTCACTGGTCTTTGATGGCACTGATGGTTGCTCACAGTTTTTTCAAATGCTGCTTCAATTTGGCCTGGTCCATTTCTGCAGAATTAGAAGTCATCTGCCCATTCAGGGGTGAGCAGCTGGCATGACTGTCACTAGTGGGAAAAGCTGAGGAAGGGCACTGAGTGACTGTCTGGAGAAGCAGGAACTAGCCTCTAAGCCAGACCCACAGCTTCTGTCCGCAGAAAATTGTCACAACTTGCTGGCATCAAGAGTATCTATACTAGATACCAAGAAATGGTTGAAAATCTCACCTTAACAAGTCCTTGTGAAGCACCACAAGACCTGATTCAAGCAAAGTTGCCTTCTCACACGTTCGCTGCTGTGGTACACGCACCTTCAGGCAGTCACACGAACAGCTGTGCATTCATGTACAGGCGTTCTGCCTTCATGCTGGAGTCTCATACACACCTGGAAGTAGCTCCTACCTACACCTGTGCCTGTCCCTTCCTGTCTTCTTCGTGTACATCCCAGCTCTATGACTGCCCGCCTACTTTGACCAGCCTTAAACTAGAAAACTCCACCCTGCACGAAGCAAAAGGTACAGAAATGGCAGTTCCTTACAGGGGTGTGTATGACCAGGTGCTGATAGTAAAGGAACGGGGCCAGAAAATTAATGAAGGAGACAGATACTTTTAACTCCTATTACAAGCTCCAAAAAAGTCTGCTGCCTGTAAGAGCGGGAACAGGGATGTCTGTAGAACGTCAGAGCAAAGGACAAACAAGTTGTAAAGAGGACCAGCTTGCCCACCATGAGTGCTACTTTCCTACTATTGCTCTGGCTGCTTGTCATATTGTCAGCAGATGCAGATTCACATAAAATCTTTTTTACTCTTCTCTCTCTGTACCTTGCTTGAATTAAACATTTTGGGGCTGGGAAAGAAAACTGTGTGAAAGGACAAGCTATGAAAGGAGCAGCTGGACTTGGTCTGTTAATGATTCACAAGGGTGCTGGAACTGCAATGGGACTGTGCCAGGTAAAGTAGTGAAACAGGGCAGTACTGGGCTCAAGAGAAATACTTAAACACAGAGACAGTTGCTTTGGGTCATTCCTATTCCAGATTTCATAGATTCTGTCACACAGTCTGGAGACATATAGACCTCTTAATGGCGTCCTCTTTGTGTTCCCAAGGACCTCACTGTTGCTCTCAGGACAAGTGGAGTATAGGAGACAGCAAAAGAAAAAATCTGGGCAAGGCTGGTGCTTTCAGCAGGAGGGCCAATCTGAATGGGGCAGGTCATGTTCCTTTTCACTTGTTGCATAGCAAACACAGATGGTCAAGCCCTGGTAACCCTGGGCTGGGAAACAAGGTGAGAAGTTGGCAGTGGTCCAGGTAGGGCCCTGTGGAGGACCACACAATGTTCAGTGCAATCTGGACTTCTGCTATGTGTTCCCAGGCCCTGCAATGACACACATGATTTACCTGTCTGTCATTAAGTGTTAGAAAACATTTGCAGAGGCCACACCACTTGAGTGGCTCTTCCTGAAGGATTATTCCTCCCTGGCTAACAGTTGCATGAACGGAGATGTATGAAAACTCCTGTTCCAGCTGTATGTAGTTTGCCCAAGATATACTGAACCCTTGGCATCAATATGTAGGCTTTATGACAGCACTGAATACTACTGTGCAGTCATCTTGTCAAAGGGTTGAGCAGATTTTTCAAATAACCATGTCCCAGTTATTTGTCTGAGTTTTCCACAAGGCATCCTCAGTAGTATGAGCAGTTGCAGAGAGGAGGAGAATGTGCTCTTCCTTGGATTTGAGATTTGGGAGGAGAAACTGGTCTGGCACACTGTATTTCCTGAGACCTGCACATTGCAACACTCGAAGGAGGAACCCTCTGGCTACTGAAAACAAACAACCTGCTCCCCCATATGTCTGACTCAAAAGCTTTATGATGCAAAGCAGAAGCGTATGGGGTTGGTATAATCCCAAGCACAAATATAGGCCATGTGGAAAATGGATTGATATCAGTTCTAAGAAGAAGGACTTGGGGGTGTTGGTGGACAAGAAGCTTCACACGAGCCAGCCATGTGTGCTGATAGCCCAAAAAACAGTCATGTCCTGGGCTGTGTGTCACCAACAGCATGGACTGCAGGATGAAGGATGAGATTCTTCCCCTCTACTCTGTTCTGGGGAGACCCCACATGGAATATTGCATGCAGCTCTGGGGTCCTCAGCACAGGAAAGACAAAGGCCTGTTTCAGTATGTCCAGGGAATGACACATTTCTATTTTCTACCCTCTCTCTGTGGACTCAGAGACTAATGATCTCTGTGAACTGCCCATGCAATAACACTTTGTATTTCTTACACCATGAAGAAGTAAGCAATATGTACTGTGCTCCCAAGCATGAATAAACAGATCACACCTGACCCAGTGCAGCAGCAACAGAAGTAGACTGAGGAATAACGCAAATGGTATAGACTAGAGTTTAACTCCACAGTGCTTATACTGGAGATCCCTCCCTATCCGAGAGCATGTTTTTGACAACTGATAAGAGAACCAGGCATACCTAGGGCAGTGAAACCTGATCAGATGTAAGGCTTGACTAACCCCATGCCCTGTCTTCTGCCATCATCTAGAGGAGATGCCTAGGGAAGAGAACAAGAAAAACATTTCCTCCCTGAAGCCAGGGATCTGGAGTACACGATTCACCTTTCTGAACGCAGATGTTAAAAATCAGCTAGTGAATGATGCCCTCGAAACTCCTGTTTCTTTCTGTTGGCTGTGACAAGAGTGGAGAGTGATGTCTGTGAGTAGACACAGAAGCTGTCTAAAATCAGGTCAAGCTTGTCTTTGCATTTTATAGCACCTAGATATTTTTCTATTCACTTTTCCAGTCTTGTTATGAACTTAAGATACTTTTGGCAGCAACAGGATTCCCTGGCAATATGGGTACATTTAGCTTCATGCTGGGAGAACTACTTTCCTCTGCCATGAACCTACATATAAAAATTGTATTTGGTATAATCACAATTTCTAAAATTAAGACACACTAATAATTTCTCCCTTTTTGCAGTCTTCAACCTATACAAGTTTTTAATATCTGTGCTTATATGCCCTGAAGAACACAACTTTTACCAGGCTGATACCTAAAGGAGCTCATTGTAATCATGCTGCCAAAATCTCTATCACTTTCAGGTGTGAGATGGGATAGTTCACATTTTCTGCATCTCAAAGGTAGGATGCTGGAGAGCTGCTGTAAGAGTCAATGCTGTGACTATGCACTGGTGAATGTTTCCTTTTCAAAGAGAGATTTCAGTTGTATTCTAGCTTACACTTCTGAAGCTGTAGAGGAAAATGAAGATTTATGGCTCTGCAATGTCATTGAGTATGACACAAAGCTGCAATGTTGCTGTTCATACAAGGGCCATGCATGCTCTCCTCTGCTGATCAGTGGATTTGAGTACTACTATATTGTGTTTTGAAACGCACATTGAAAGCTCTGCCTCCTGTAGTAAACAAACTTGACAGTAATCTACAAAAAAAAAAAAAAACAAAACCAAAAAAACCAAAAAAACTCTGTGTCAATTGCTCATTACTTTCAATGGGATGAAGGCAACAGAAGGGAATTCTGCTTTCAGAAAAGAGCCTTTTTTCAGTAGGCATGTTGTATACAGTCACCCTGGTTGCTCTAGAAGTCGTCATTCATAGAGAATGGAAAGAATGCAGCAGCAAGGGAAGCTCCCGAATGCATAGGAGCAGAGGTGCAATGCCTATGTTAAATTCCAGTCAAAGCAAGTTCTTTTTGAGCTAGAGCAGATGTTGCCCCACATGCCTTCCAGAACAAGGAAAAATGAGACAAATTACTGATATGGTGACCTATATGGCAGCATCTCTCCAAGGACAGGCTGCTGTGCCTGTGGCTTTTCAATTGTGTTTGAAGTAAGTTTTAAAGTTATATTTTTATTTAGAGGCAGTTTGAAATAAGTAGACTTATCTGAATTGGCACATAGGAAACCAAATATGTGTTAGGCAAGAGCAAGGATACTGACTGACCTTCTCCCTCTCTCACCCTTGTACAGTTGCAGTATCATTTCTTGTCTTCATTATAATACAGCACTCTAATACCAAGTGGTTGGGGAACAGGAAAATGAGAAAACAAGAGAGACAGAAGGTCACATAATACTTTACCAACACATAAATGAGAAAAATAGTAAAAAAAAAAAAGTATATATTCAACTTTTGAATTAATTTCACTGGTCAGCTTCTGCCTTCTTTATGTACATAGGCAGTCTAAAACCAGAAACCAGCACAGGAACCGAAGTGGGAGCAGAACAGCTAGTTTATAGGTGAGAGAAACAAAAGCAACAAGCAGACCTGAAGCATGCATAGCCCATGCAATACACTGGAGTGCAGAAGACTCTGTGCTAGCACCAACTATTTCTGTCAGAAATCCAGGAAATAAGTAATTCAGACTTATTGACAACACCTCTTTGCTTTGGCAAAGCTTCAGGGAACACTGACCCAAGACAAATAAGGAAAACAAAGACAATATATGACAAAGCAAAGGGCTGGTATAGATCTGAGCTCCCGGCACTGTAAGAGCCCACGTCAGACCATGAGGAAGATTCTAGTGCTTCTGCCCTTCAGGATGCTCTCCCCAGTCCTGGGGACTTAGGCTGAAGGCTAGTATAAAACACACAACCTCAACCTTATTCTGATCTATTGCTAAGCTTAGCTAGCCTGGTAGGTGCCTCCTAGCTACTAGAACCCCGCTGAAGATGTGTCTTGTGTGGCGGTCCTGCCAATGGCATGACTTTGACCATGCTAAGCCTTCCTTCTCCTGCAGAGCTCCTCTACACTCTCACACTCAGGTTTATAAAATCCCTCCCAGTCACCTCAAAAAAGTACTCTTTCCCAGCCCACTGCTGCCACCTCCTCTTTCATCCACAGTCTCTTCCTGGCCACTTCTCATGCTTGTGGAAACCTATATGTACCTCTGGTGGGTAATGCCACCAGAGCAGGTCAGCTCCTTTGACCCCTCCCGGGGCGTGCTGACAAAGCAACACGCCCCGGGAGAACAAGGTTATGTGCTAGGCTTCACATACAAAGTTTTTCACAGACACCCCCCCACTTGGGGTTCCACTGCCATGCACTGCTCAGGCCTTACCTGAGTTCCCAGAAATGCTAGGCTCTGGTTCACCAGGGCTTCCTTGCAACCATCCTGGGTCCAAATCAGTGAAAACCACATCTTCCCACTGCAGGTGTACAGAAAGGCTACATGATGATAGAAAGCAGGCTAGTGTAGACAGGCTCTTGCAGCCAAAGGCCAAGACCCCAAGGCAAGAATACCCTCAGGGATTTCTCCTCTGGTCTACAGACCAGCTGAAGGCAGTCAGGGCAACTAGAAGAGGGAGTGGGTGAGGCCAGTGCCAGGAGCTAGGTTATAACTGATTTTCCTAAAACACCTGGGGGAACTGATGATCTCACTGCTGGCAGGTGCAATATGTCCCAGCTTGCCTACAGTGTCAGTTTCCCTGTTGGGGTTGAACCTACTGCCAGCTCCTTTGGAAACTGAGGACTAGTACACTTCAAGCTGAGAAGTTCCTTCAATTTCCCAAAGAGAGACCTAGGCATGAGGTTGCCTCCTTGCCTAGGTCTCCATATCTGAGGTAAATCACCCTAATCCTAAACATGGCCAGCACAGAAAAGTGCAGATGCACAATGCAAGCCTGTGCCAGGGTACACCACTGTTGCTCCCCAGCTAAGACAGGGAGGATGGCTGTGGATCGGTGTGTGAGCTGGCACGGGCAAGATGCAGGAACAACCACAAAAACACAGATAAAATGCAGAGTAAATTTATTTCCATTACCTCACCAACCAGGGAATTGTCAAAGTAGGACCCAGGCAGAGGTACACAAACAGGGATGCCAACACTGTGGAATCTAGTCCATGCTCGAGGATCACCAAAAATGTTGTTTTCACATGTATATCAGGGATTATTGCAGGCACAGTTTATACCACTGAGATTTGATCTTTACCACAGCAAAGCAGGAATGTCAAGCATGTTTAATAGGGTGGTTCTAAGTCTAGCACAGGCCTATTTATATAAAGACAGATGTACCAATTACAAAACACACAAGACTAAACAACAATTAATATAATAGTGTTTTTCTACACTTCGCCTGCAAGACATTTGAGTGTATTTACAATCTTCCTTGCCAATCTTCCCTTACCTTCTCATAATCAGTTAAAAGGGCACTGAGGCAGCTCTGCTAAAGCTCTGGAGATCCTGTCTGAGCATCTCCAAAGAGCAGCTTCAGATCTGTGTCTTGACTTCTTCCTTGGTCTCAATGCTGAAGGGGTTTTCTTTGGCACAGAGTACCTCCAAACTCCAACTTAGGCAAGTTTGTATGGCTGGCAAGGTGCTCTAACCTACACCCCCACTATGACACAAAGCATCTGTGAGTATAATACCTGAAAAATGATACCAGCACATTTGTGGTTTAATGCTAGTTTGCTATTGCATCAGGGAAAACCTAGGTGTGGTTAAAAGGATATCTTTACAAAAGATGACAATGGAGGATGTGGCCTTGAGAAATCAAAATATCCTGAGATTATGAGGTATGTATATGCCTATGTTGCTGGCTCTCTCAGCCTTCTCAGTCAAATGCTGCTTGGTCAAAAAGAAACAGGATCGTGTTAATTATTGCAGAATATTTGCATGTTAACAGACATCTCTGGGGGGACTCTGAAAGAAAAGGTGTTTCTGAAGGAAAAGTGATCTCAAAGGATCAGCTTTCTCTAAAACCAGGATCTGTTTATTAGTAATGGGGATTAAAGCCACAGAACCTAAGGTACATGGAGAAGAGTTGAAGGAAGCAGATGGTACATGAAAACTATAGTAGGTTCAAGGTGGCGTTAACAATGCAGCAACATTATGTTGTAAAGGTCTCCTGGTCCAACAGACCCTCCACACACCATCCTGCTTGTTACTTGTCAATGTCTTTTCTTAAGCAGTTCTGGTTATTCAGCTCTATTTGAAGGTATAATGGCATGAAATCTCTGAAGCTGCGTACCATTCACCCATAGCTTCTCTCTCTTTTTGTTCTGGGATTGCTTTCTTTGAAAGGAAAAGATGTAGCATGGACACTTAGTTGACATGTCAAAGACCTTTTCATACACTGCTATCTTTCTCATTTAGCCCTCCCCTCTAATAGAGTGCTGGTACCTAGACTTTGTACTGGGAGAGGTAAGGGGAGACAATTAGACTGTTATAGAACCTGGCAGAACTGGCTGGGTGTAATCTAGAGCTGGCTCACTTTTCCTGTCACTGGGGAGGCAGGGTTGATCTGTGGATCCCAACCCTGTAGGAGGACACGTGAACAGAGCTGAAGGTGGCAATGTAAGGCACTCCACAAGTTGCCCCTCTGAGAGTTCCAGAAATGGGTCCTGAGCATCTCACCAGAACACATGCTGCAATGGGCATTTATCATCTCCTCCCATTTCCACTGAATAAACAGAAAACAGGCTACCAGTTCCTTATTACTTTATGGAGCTGACGTATTCAGCAATCAGTAACCTTGGTACTGCTGGCATGTCACAAACACCACGTAGAGTATGAGCTGTGGGGTGCCACCCCATGATTCACCATTACAGCAGGAAAGGCATGCCAAGCCTTGAGTACTAAGGCATGGCTGGCTCCAGTCCTGGGGACAGTTGCCTCCCTGCAGCAGCAAGCACAGCACCCACTGCTCTGCTAGGGTCCGCAGTGGGGGAGGCTGTGAGGGCCAAGGAGAAGGTGCAGACAGGATTGTTCTGTGGGGAGTGGACTGGCTGCCACAGCAAGCTGCCAACATCATCGGGGCAGGAGGGCCTGGCTCCAGTCTGTGTCAAGCTTTAGGGCCCATCCTGTTCTCAGGGTTGGTGGGTTTCTTTGGGGGTCTGAATCACTCTCACCCTATCCCTGCTGGAACACAGGATGGCCCTGGGCAGGCAGGGACATGCCTAGTGCACTGCAATACCATGAGGTGAGCAAAGGTGACCCACGCAATGACCAAGCCTAACCTACCACAACAGTAGGACAGTGCAGGACTGCCATGTCAGAATTTTTATTAATAAAAAAGTTACAATAACTTACTCCCTTTATCACACAAAGGGTTCAGTATAAAGAGCTCTGGCATCCTAAGGTAACACAGGGAAGTGAGAGATGGGTACGTTTCTCTTATCCTTCAAGACAGCAGCCTTCTCCTGTCCCCAAGGGGAAGTGTGCCCAGCACAGGAACCACAGGCCAACAGGGCCTTTGCCACAGGGCCCAACCCAGGAACAACCTTCTGCCCCGGAGTGCAGCTGGTTCGTGGGTAGCACAGACCAACACAGGGCACAGATGCTGATTCTACAGAGACATGGGGGACTGGAAGCAAGAGGATGTACAAGCTCTAGTGGAGGAGGAGAGAGAAGTGTTCTTCTTTCCATAATGCTGAGGAGTCTGTGGAGCACAAAAAGTGAAGCAGCAGGACAGTGGCTGCTTACAGGCAGGGAGAGGTGGGACTGGTTGGAAGCAGCCTTGCCTGCCCAGCTGGGCCTCATACAAGGTCTAGCCTGATAGAGGCAAAGGGCCAGCTGTAGCTACTTGTCACACTCCAGATCCTGGGCCCCCTCAGCACCCTGGTAGTGCATCTCACAGAACTCCTGAATGCGACTGCAGGCCTCCAAGATCATCTCCTCAGGTACAGTGATCACTACACGGAAGAAGTTTGGGTACTCAAAGCACTGAAATGAGAAAAGATGAAGCTGACAGATTACCTGGGATAGTGCCAGTTTTAGAGCCCTGCCTTGGCACCATGAGCTACATCAGCACATGAATACAGTCAATGTAGAACAGGAGGGCTTGGTTCTTGCTCTCTTAGACCATTTTTCCTGTTCCAAGCAAATCTCTCATCTCCATCTGTGTAGACATGATGCTGTGAGGGGGACAGGCCAGAGGACTTTGCGAGAACTGTGCAGACCAGACTGTGCAGGGAATGGGCTGTGAGGAGTTAGCGAATGAGAGGCTGGAGAATATTTAAGGCCCTGGCCATATTCAATGTTGGAAGTGAATGCAAGGCACAGATGTTCTCAGCCTTCCCTATGTCTGGAGGGGTGAGGGACTGGAAATAGACTGAGGAAAGGAACATAGGTGGGAGCACTCCTCTGAAGGGAGCACCTTCAGCAAGGAAGTGTGGGGGTATATGGATTTCAGGGATACAGCTCTGCCAGGCTGAAAAATACTGGGCAAGCCTGGAGTTGGGAAGATCCTGGCAGCCTGACTGAGGGCTGTTAGTGAGCCAGAGACTGCCACACACAGCACGAGGAGCTGACAGCCAGCTCCTACACACTATAACAGACCATGAACACTTGCATACACAACTCCCAGCCTGTCCTCAGAGCTCAGGGTTGCAAACCCTACAGTTTCTCCCACCCTGCTTTGGCCTCACAGCTCCTTGGGGCTCTCAGTGTTAGGCTCACCGTGGCTGGCAAGCAGAACACAGACTGCTCCGAGATGAGTCGCTCAGTGAACTCCACATCATTTTCAAACTCCGGAAAATGCTCCATCTCTATCTCAACCTGCAGCAGAGGGATGTAACATAGCAATCAAGGGCACCAAAACTATCTACAGTGTCCTTGTTTACATACATGGCCCAATGACTTCCTAGTTAAGAAGCAACTGTCTGCCCTCAATTTTTGCTTATGATTTGGGCTGCCTGGGATTCAAGACAGAAACATATAAATGAAAACTGGGCTTCTGAAAAAGCTGTCATTAACTACCTAAAGATAGAATTTCAGTTAAATGCTGCTTCAATAAAAAAACACCTGATAGAAAAGACACAGTAACCAATTAGAAGTGAAAAGGAATAAATAAGACATTGAGACAGAGCTTGGTAGAGAACTCAATATAAATTAATAATCCTGTCATGCAAGAAAAAAATTAATGCTTTGGTTTAAAATAAAAATAAATATAGCAAGGTCTGGAATATTATGAACAAAATAAATCCTTGTAGGATGATATAATTGGTAAAATGACATGAAAGTGGTAAAATCTTCAATAAATATTTATTTTCAGTATTTGGAAAGAAGGCAGCTGTCCATCTCTCACATAAAGACAGTGCTATTATGGTAATTTGTTTATAGAATCCCAGAATGGTTTGGATTGGAAGGAACCTTAAAGATGATTTAGTTCCAATGCCTCCACCACAGGCAGGGCTGGCACCCGCTAGATCAGCTTGTTTGGGGCCACATCCAGACTGACCTTTGTAACCAAAGAAGACTTGAAACATCTCATTAAAATATTCTTAAACAGGTAATTTGAGAGATAATTTGCTTACATAAGTTCTGAAAGAACTAGTAGAAAACAAAAATAAACACATGACTTAATTTTAAATAGACAGCCAGCTACTGTAGAAATAAAATAAGTATGCAAGAATCTTAGAGTTGTGCCTCTACATAAAAAGCATAAGAAAAATGACCTGTGTAGCTCTGAGTAAAATTTGAAACAGGGTCAAGTGATAAGGAGTTTTCTATAGAAATGAGTGAGACAGATACTGCAGTATTGTCCAGTTCTGAGTCCATATTTTAAGAGTGAATGCAAAACTGGAGACATTATGAGATCTAACAAAATAAAAGGAAAAAAATTCAAATGTGTCAAAGTGTCATAAATTTCTCAACTCAGCTTGATGAGATGAAAAAGGAAACTTCAGCACATTATAAACTTTAAAGCAAACAGGCATGGGAAAAGGCAGAAGAAAAGGCAACACCACAGGCAGAAGACGGGCATGCTAGCATGAAGAAGGCTACATCTTCTGCAGGAGGTATGATATTCTGCCTTGTTTTATAGGGGCTTCCAGTTGCCATTGGGCTTCATTTCCAGGTGAAACAGCCTTGTCTTGAAAAGTACAAATCATGGAGTGTTCTGTGCAGAAGCAAGTGGGTTAAGTGTACTGGCCTCTGCTCTGTGAGCAGTTAACAGCATATCCTGGCCTTCTAAGGTGACAAAGGGATGCATTTACAGGGCAATTTGAAAATGCACAGTAACTGAGACCTGGTGGCAAGTACCAATCTGAATCATTGACTAGCTCTGGCAACCAGATGTAGGGTGAGTGTTGGCAATCCTCACTTACCATCAGGTACATAGCTCCAGTAGGCCTGACAGGCTGAAGGCCAGGGATAGCTGATAAGGCAGCATAACAAAGGTCAGCATTAGACTGAAAAGCAAAAAGGAGAAATTTCAAAACAGGAGAAATTCCAGAAAACAGCTCAGTGATTGGAAGCCAAACTCTGGACTGGGACTATGAACAGGTTTGCCAACTGCAAATAAAGGGACAACAAATGCAAACAGTATAGGAGATCATGGCCTTGAGTACAGCAGGTGTTACTGAACTGAGCTCAGAAAGTCAGTGCCAAACTCCATCCCCTGGGTCAGCAGCTTCAGCAGAGCTAGGCTGCCTGAACATTATCACAGTCAGTATTTCTGCCCGTTACAATGTCTCCTGCTGGAATTGGATGTGATCTCCCTCCAAACAACCTGTGAACAGCCCTTCTTGATCTATAACAGCTTGTTTACCTTGAGGATGCTTAGGGTGTTGTGGTAGAACTCAGGTGGCGTTCGGTGCAAGATACGCTCCAGTGCTCCTTGGACAATTGTGCAGGGTCCTAGGATCCTTTGACTCAGTCTTAGAAGGCCATCCCTGATCTGAGAAAACATAATATTTGCAGCTTAGATGATGTTTCCCTAAAGGAAAGGAACAGCTCCAAGGCTGTATTTCTATGGCTGTTCACACCCTTCTCTTCAGTGAGCATACAAAGTACTAAAGAACATTTGTTTGACTATATGCCAGGTTTAGCAGATTATTTACAGTGCCATTCTCTGTTCCTTCATTTCAGATGGAAATGCCAACAGAAACAACCTTCGGATCTTCCCAATCTGACTCAAACCAGGCTGGAATATAGATAACACAAGTAAAGCCAGAGCTGTTCCAAATACAACTTTGCATTTCCCTTTGGTTTGTGCCCACAATCCACACTTTCAAAGCCAAGTAAGGACAATCAATATTAGCTTTTCTGCTCACTCATTTGGTCCTCTCTTCTCCCTCTTCCTCTGCAGAGAGCCTTCTAGGTGGAAAGGTCACTGCAGTAGATGGTTGTTCTTGTAACACAGCTGAAAAATAGCCAGATAAAGTACTGGCAGCACTACGAGGTGCTTTGTTCTTACTTTTAAGAGAAACCATGTAAGAGAGCACACAGACACCACCCATGGACTCCACATGCTAGATAAACAATGCAATACTTTCAGTGCACACTGGAGTTCTCTGAGAAGTTAGAAGCACAGAAAAAGGAAAAGGCATACATTAATGAGCAGCAGAGAAATGGAGTGAGTTACAGGGTAGATGTGGGTAGAAGACCATGTCTGGGAGCAGATGGAGTAAGGAAGGGACATGAAGCGGGTAAGCACAATTGGGTGACACCCAGGCGAGAGCAAAAGAGCAGTACCCGCCTGTATCATTTAAAGACCCGGTGATCCACATACTGAAGACTCTGCAAGTCTGTTGCCATGACAGCAACATAGGGGTTCTCACCTCATTACCAAAGATGTCTCTCCTGTCATGAATTAGGATCCAGCCCATCCGCCAGCCAGGGACTAGCCATCGCTTTGCCAAGCCGCCGCAGGACAAGATTGGCACATTGGTGCTGAGAGTTGCAATGGGCTCATACTTGCAGTCAGCGAATACCTGTGACCGGAGACCGTGTTAGGGCTGTCCCTGCCTCTTACTGTGAGAACTGGGGCAAGCATGAGGCTTAACAAGAAGGGATGCAGGGAAGCAATGGGAAACCAATGGTGAAAACTCACAGCTTCAAAGTATGAACATGGTAAGCACACAGATATAAAAGCAAGCTGTTTGTGAAGAGGAAGGGAGCTGGATATGAGAGGTTCCCCTAGGACTGTGCTCCAAAGGACTGGGAGCTCCAGGCATGGCCCCAGGCCCAAGGAAGTGGAGGTGTCCTTCACCTCTAGAAACGTGGCTGCCATGGCCAAGGATTAGGTACATCAAAAAGAACAGGCAGCATTGCAAGTGCAAAGGACTGCAACGGACACTCACCATGTCTCCGTAGATCTCATCAGCCAGGATGGGCACACACTGTCTTGATGCCACTGTGGAAGAGAGGGCATTCAGCTTGGTCACCTGTATCCTCCATGGGAACAGACTTGCCCTGCAGTCTGCAGGGCCTGGCAGAGTTCTGAGGGAAGCTCTGTCTCAGGGCACAGGGTCCCTATCTTCCTCCTACAGACTGTTCATTTGGTGAGCCTGACCACTGGGGATCCCTGCCCTGACTGAGCCTAGTTCTGCTCCAGCTGGGTGGGGACTGCCAGCACAGCCCTCCCTGTCAGGACAAGGAAGCATAGGGCTCCTGTGAACACTCCAAGTGAAGAGCCAGAGGGGAGAAATGAGCAGTCCAAGTCACACAGAGTTCTTGAGGAAGACACATGCTCTGCATGTGTCTAGATAAGACAGCACCTCCACACTGAGCAAGCCCTCATTCCTGAGGTGGAGTCAGTCAGAAGCAAAGCCCTTGGCCATAGTGCTGCGGTGATTGAGACATGAGCAATGGGGGCAGACATTAGACTGCAACCATGTCCCAAGCCCCAGAAACACACAGGCAGGCTCACCTGCCAGGATCTCCTGGAGGTGGTTCCTGCTGAACACAGAGCCACAGGGGTTCGATGGGTTGTTCACAATTAGGCAAGCTGTTTTCTCATCCACCAAAGACTCCAAGTGCTCCAAATCAATTTCCCAAGCCTTCTCTGGCTAGTGAAGTGAAGAGAAAAGGAAGTAAAAGCTGAGGAACTGGACCTGCCACACAAGGTCAGATGTGCCAGGGCACCCAGGGTTACTCACGTTGCCTTCACCCACTTCTCAGGTGGGGCCAGAGTATTTATGAGAGGAGAAATGTCAAGGCTGCCCCTTCCGGGCCTGCCACTACTTACCAAGAGATTATAGAGTTTGACCTCTATTCCCATAGACAATGCCAGAGTCTTGTAGAGGGAGAAGCCAGGCCGTGGCACCAGGATGTTCTGGCCTGGGTTGGCCAGCACTGCCAAGGCAAGCTCTATGGCCTGACTGCAGCCGCTCGTTAAGATGACATCCTGCAAAGAGCACAGAAAGGTCAGTGGAAAGCACAACCACTCTGAAGTACTCTGGACACACAGGAGTGACGTAACATCCAGGCTCAGCTCTGCCAGGGAGAGCTTCTCAGCCAAAAGGACAGTGCCAGGCCTGACTGAAAGCAGAGAAACTTCAGCTGGTGGAAAGCAAAACCTCCTCCTGGGGAGGGTGGTGGTGAAGGGCTCAGGGAAGGGATGAGGGCAGCAGGAGGCCACCTTGGGACAAGGTGATTTGACCAGCCTTTAGTCCTGTAACTGGGCAGGGAGGGAGAGCTGGGGCAGGGCCCCCATGCCCCACAGTCTGCAGGCAGCAGCACCCTGACTGCACTGAAGTGGGGAGTGCCTTGGCTGGGCACCAGTACCTGGGCCTTCAGTGGTGCCTCCGGGCAGTTGTAGTATGCAGCCACAGCTTCCCGGCAGGACTGGTAGCCTGAGGAAAGACATTCAGACATGGAAAGGAGGTTTTTATAGACTCTTTCCTTCTTGTTACCAGTAGTGTTTGTTTCTTCTTACCAGTAAAAGGCTCACAGCTGCTGTGATCTGGGGAAAGCCCATTTGGTGGTGTCCCAGGGTGGTAGAGACTGTCCTGCCTCAGGCTGAGCTCCGTGCAGCCCCAAGGCTGGGCCAGGATGGCCAAGAGCAGGGGCAAACCTTGGGCAGGGAGGCAAACCCTGGCCCCAGCATGTCCCATGGACAGAACTGACAGGAGCAGAGTGGTAGGTAGGCAGGGAGTTTTCTAAGCCAGAAGGAAGCTAAGACATGTCTTTCATTGTTCAGTGATGGCACTGGGGCAGCTCTCCCTGTCACCAGATGAAGGGTCCCATGATACAGGCATGATCTATGCTCTGTGCGTGCTTTTGGCACTAATTGCAAACAAGGCTCAGGGTGTCAGTGAAGTCAGGGAGCCCAAGGAAACTCCTGGTTAAGGCAGATCAGAAAGGAGCTCGGCTGTAACCCATGGCAGGGACACACAGTCCCAAGCCCTTCTGGGTTCTTGATAACCTGTCTGCCCCAATGGCTAGGGCAGCAAACAGCTTCTGCAGGATCTCTGGGCCTCAAACAGCCACACAGGAAAGAGCACACAGGTGTATCTGGGGGATACATATACTTGTGTGTTCATGTGACTGTTGGTGAGGACAGCTGTAGGGAGCTAATGGAAAGATGTCTGTGGGCTCCATACACCTGCTGTGGGGTAGGAGCTGGTATATGACTTCATCCAACTCTCAGTGGATGAGCTTTGTCAACTTACCAACAGATGGAGCATAACCATTGTACTGTCCTGAGTCCAAAACCTCCTTCACAGCCCGTGTGACCTCATCATTTGTGGGAAGGTTTCCAAAGACCGTCGGGTCTCCTTTTCAAAGATTGAAAAAACAGTCAAGTTCTAGCTGATCTGTGACAGGCACAGAGCTGTGTGGTTGTCTGACCTATCCCTTGGTGTTCGCACAAACTTTGTGCTTCAGAGCCCTGCAATCTGTCAGCCACACAGCTGATCCAAATACCTGGAGGCTTCAGCCACAGGACTATGCTCACCTAAGGACAAGGAGATCATGGCTTTCTTTGGGTTGGGTTCCACCTTCATGCTGTCTACAATGGCTCGGACAGGATTGAAAGTCTTCTTTGACATTTCAGAAGCCCTGACAGCCCACCTTGGCTTCCGACCCTTCACCTTCCCTGCTGATATGGTGTTCCCAGTGTTCTTGAGATGAACATCCAGCATAGGGGCATGATCTCCATGGCCATTCACTTGGATCAGGTATGAGTCCATCCTGAGAGCTGCCAGTGCAAAGTGAATTTCCTGGGCTTAGTTAACACATGTCAAACAAGAAATATTGTTTGGGGTTGCATTTAGGGATGCAGCCCATAAGTAAAACTTCTAAAAGCTGTAGACACTACCTACTGCCTTTGGACAAAGCAGCAGCAGCAAGTAGGGCCGTATTTGGTGCCAGGATGTAGTGAAACCCCATGCATAAGTGAGAGAGCAATACAGTGGGAAAGATTAAGGCACTTCTGTGTGTTAGCTGCACCCCTACCTAGCATGGACCTCCTGCACTGAGGAGTAAAAAGCCCTGCTAAAGCCAGAAGTCAAGAATTAGCAGTATGTTGTAGTCACTGCTTGACTGCAGATTCAATATTCCACTGACAGAAGGACCAGGTCACCCACTTTCTCCGCCCAGCCATCAATTTGTACACCTCAACCTGCAAACACAAGGGCTACCCCACTATGTGTGTTCATATACAGTATCTTCCTCCAGTCTACAGACAGAAATGCAGCGCTATAAATCAAATATCAGATGCCAAAAAGGTAGTTCTTCTTCAATGTTAGCAGGATGCACTGGGCAGTAGCAGGATAGAGGTCAGACCTTACTTTTACTTCTGTCAGCAGAGAACAGCCCAGCCCAGAGAGCCTAGAGCAAAAGGAAATGCTTAGGAAATGGAGCAGGACTGGTATGGCCAAGAGGGAAATCCAGGAGGCAGCACTGCCCCAAAGAAAGGGCCTGTAGTTCAACCTGCAACTGAGTAACAAGCAAGGCACAGCACAGGAACAGCTGCCTCCAAGACCCAAAAATGGACACAAAAGTGACTTACACATTCCAGCATGTTATACCCAGAACATGAACTGGCAGGAAAAGCCTAACTTACAAACTGATAATGACTCAGGGATTTCCACCTGCAATTTAGGGATAGGGCACAGAAGAGGCAGACCTCCTGAGCCACAAAATCTGTTTTTGCTAATACTAGCACACTAGCTTGTAATCCTGCCACAAACTGCTATGCTTTCTATTCTGTCCTATTTCTCTGCTCCACTGAAAAGCAATTCAGTAAACAGTGGCCCTTTCCTGTTAGCCCTCTCCTGCATAGCTCCACACTTGCAGATAAGCACAGCTTCCTCTTCCTTGATGCAGAGAGTGAGCCAGAAGGGCTGTAGTGTTGCCTGGTTCAGGCAAGATTTGCTATCTGAACAAATTTCTCAGTGTTTCAGTGAAGTTTGCACCTAGAGATGCCCCATGCTGGTGCAGTTACTCTACCAGCAGTGCATTATTAGGCAACCCAGGCTGATCTAACAGGGTCACAAAGCAAGACTTCAGCTTTTGTGCTAAAACCTTCTGGGTTTCCTTTCCACCAGAAGAAAGTCAGCTGAAGAAATATATAGCAGGGCTGCAGAAAAAACTGAGCCTAGAAATGAGCCATGTATCTCAATTCAACAGCTGGGCTGTATCCCAAATATGCAGTCTGTCCTAGCAGAGCTCTTACACCACCCGCACCACATGGTTCTTCTGAAAAGGGGAGCTGTATACACAGGCACAGTAGTTACCTTCAATGTAGGCAGCCAGGGAAGAATTCCCCACTACCCACCTGAAAAAAACAAGGCACCAGAGCACAGCACTTTACCTTCTACAGCACAGACAGGGAGACACCAACAAGCCTGGAGGTCCAGTCCCTAGTTTTCATCCAGGACAAATCCCCTTGAGAGGAAAGTCCTATGAATTTTTGCCCATGAAATAATCCCCAAAACTGGGCGTTGAGACTGAATCATTTAGCCATTGGCTCACAGAGAGGGCTGCTCTCCCCACCCAAAAATGACCTCTCCTCCCCTTTGCAACTGTAGTCACTTCAAACACCTGGAACATGGCTCTGCATTAACTCTTTCAGGAGGCAGCCTAAGGACACAGCTTGGCTTCCTGGCGTGCCTGGGCTGCCATCCTTTGCCACCACTTTCCTCAGTCTGCAAACACTGCTGGAGGCAAATCTGCAGAGTCCAGGTATTCCAGTAATAGCACCTTGTAATTCACTGAGAGTGGACTGATGGACCATAAAGCTTGAGGAAGCCATCAGTCTGTCCTGACCTAAGAATTTCTGGGATCCCAATGCACCAACTGACAAACAGCAGTTTGTGGCTTCATTACAACTGGGACTCATCTTCCTCAATAAACTAAAGGGAGGAAAGCATTTCTCTAGCCAGTGTTTTGGAGGCACCAGGACCTAAAGGATTAAAGTAAGCTCAAATGGTCATTGGTTTGGAGGGGTTTTTTTTGCCTTTCCCTTTTTGGTTGTTGTTGTTGTTGTTGTTGTAAGACCCAAGTAAACTCATAATTCTGGCAGCCATCAGAAATTATACAATTCTTGCAATTCTTCCCTCTTCGATGGGACTACAAACCACAAATGATACCATTCCCAGAAGGCCCTTTTTTGCTAAGTGATGCGAACCTATGGCTTCCTGCCTCTTAATTTCTGCATGGCTAGGATAAATTAGATACATCTGCACTCTTCCTGCCTTCTAAGGGCTGCTCCAAATGTTCCCTTATTGCCATGGCAGCAAATGGCCAGAGACTGAAGAGTTGCTCAGGAACAAGAGGGACTTGCCAACCTTCGAGCAACAAGATTGCTGATGCCTTCACTGCAGAGGCCAGTGGTCACTGTGAATTTTACCTGTTTTTACCTGCACCCGAGGAGGTATAAAGGGCCTTGCATTCAACCCATGCTCACTACACAACCATCAGTAAAGCTGCACCTCCCCAGGTGACACGAGTGGCCCCTTCCCTCAGTGCTGTGGTTGGGCTGACACTGCTGGGGAGCCCATGACCTGCTGTGGACCCCGTATTGCAATGGGCACTTCTGAAGCCACAATGGGGGCCAAGGATTCAGGGCTGGAGGCAGGTTGGAAGGCAGCGGAGTGCAGACAGCAGGTCTAACCAGGATCCTTTGCCCCAGACTGGAGGGTAGACTTCTCACTGCAACTAGCCCCAAGGCCTTTGGACAAGGAATAGCACCTTTCAATAGCACGCTTTCACAGAGCAACATCTTGTATTGAAGCTGTTTGGACTGTCTTCTGCTGAGGGCTGCACAATTTCTCTATTCTTTTGACTGAAACCTGACATGAGTAACCTTTGGAAGTTTATGCAGGCCCTCTCCAAGCACCTATGGGTTATTTTCTCACTTCCCCCAGCTGGCCCCATCTCTTACCACGCTGCAGCCCTGGCAGGGTTAAACATGACATTGGGAGGCCTCAAGGACGATGCTGTGTGCTCTGCCTAGCAACAATCCCCAAACTGACGCAACTGGAGCTCTACCCGTCATACTGCACACAGCAGTGGGGTTCAGGGGAGGCCACAGTGCAAGTCTGTTGCCAAGGTGGGGAAAAATGTGGCTCTGGAGACATAGGAGGCTCAGTTACATAAGGCTGAGAACCTGGTGAAAAGCAGGGTGAGGACAGAAGTGTACAACAGCATCAGTGGGTTTCTCCTGCTATTACAATGGCCCTCTCCTCTCACTGCATGACTCCAGTCCTCCTCCAGATGCTTTCACATGGGATTTGCAGCCCCTATCCTCCCACCCTTTGTTGTTCAGGGGCTCACAGGACAAAAGCATGAACACACAACTCAGTAATTAGTATTCTAGAAATATGGCCAAGCCATCCTTCTATGGTGCGGTGAAAGAGGCAGCCATACCCTGCGGGATGCATTTCTGCCAGCAAGGCTGCCATCTCTCTGGACTGTCAGGCCCTATCCTCCCCACAAACACCCCACCCTACTGACTTGCCACCCTCTGTAGTTTGCTCCTCTGTCCCAGCAGGTCAACCTCACAGGTATCTTGTGCATACCTCTTCAGGTCCCTCTTTCTCGTGTAGCTTGAACAATTGATTTTTATCCCTTCCCATTGGAAGGAGAAATTAGTGATAACTTCAGCTTTTTTTATTGCACTGCCTTTCTCTGGTACCAGGGCTTCCAGAGTCCCATTTCTGTGAGCAGAGGTGAAGCCAGTAAGACTAAGCAATTCAGCTTCCAGACTGAGCTGCAGACACAAACAGTTGCTTGAGGAGAGCACAGGCTCAAGCATTGCTGCACTGACAAACCTGTCTCTGTCAGACGGCAGGTAGGTCATACAAAAGGATAGTTTTGCCAATTCAGCATGCACTGAGAGGTGCAGGGACAGACACCCAACTAGTACTCCGCATAAAAATCCACCAGGGTCGGTAACAAATCACTTCACTTGTTGCCTTCTTATATTTTGCTTTTATTTCCAGCAATTTATGTCTACTCCTTTCACACATTGGTACAGCACCAGCCAGTTCAGGTTTTGTGTGTATCCTAACCTCTGTTTGGTCTCTGCATTCACACTTGAATCAGCTTTTAATAACCAATTATATGATCTTTCCTTTCTCCTTTTTTTTTTTTTTTTTTTTAATCAATTTATTGTTAAGGTCTCAGATGAGCAAATAGCAATAAAGCCTCCATGTCTCTCATGAATGTTGTGTCTGTTCATTGATTTGACAGCGTCATTGTAACGCTGCAGCAGGTTTTCTGGGCACAAGGCACAGACAGGTCATACAGGCACCCTGAAAATGCATATATTCAGAGTTAAAGCTGTCTGATGATGTAGGCAGGGCTGCTGTGCCAAACCTGCATGTATCTGCATGAGCCTCTGATCAAGTGATGGTGATGCTTGTGCCTCCAGCAATCTTAATTGCTGAAATGGAGCATGAGCACCTGTTACCTCTTTGCACAACCAGAGCAGAAAAATCAGCTCCAAAATAGCCCAGCTACACTCTCCAAAGCTGTGCAAACACGGTGTTTAAGAGCCAGAAAGATGGCACAATCCATAAAGAGTGGCTCAAAGCCAGTAACAGGGTAATTCAAAAATTTACAGTTGCTACAGTTTATCTATCTGCCCGTATTCAGGATCAATTTTGATTTGATCTCTGAAATACACTGAAATTGCACAGTCTAGCTAGGGATGCCTATTCTGGAAAAGCATCCTGTGTACTGCAAGTGGTTTGCAGGATGCTCTTGCCGTCTGTGTGAGCTGGATTTTGGAAAGCAGAGCATTAGCATCTAGGGACTGTCTGGTCTCTGCATTTCTTTTGGAAGGGGAACAAGGTGGCTCTCACAGTACACAAATCAAGGGCATTACAGGAGGGAGACTGTCCTCCTAGAACTCTCCTCTGCAAGCCCTGGGCAGATTGAAAACAGCTGCATTAACACACCTCAGTGAGCACCATCTCCTACTATTTGCCATTTCCCTCCATCAGGAAAACTAGGGAATGTAAATGCCATGACTATGGCATCTTGTGTGCCTCCCACAACACCAGCACTTGAAAATGCACTGCAGTAGCCTGACAGCAGCTGTGCTGGGCACAGCAGACTGCACTCCCCACTGTGGTGCTGGGAGGGGGCAGAGTCCAGCAGGTACAGAACCTTTGCTTGCTCACCCTGGGCACTGAGTCCATAGGCAGCACATTGAGAGACACAGAGTGCACTCCAAGTTTGTGGGGAGTTGGAAGCACCAGTGAGCTACAGGCCCAACAGCCATGACGAAAGACTTGCAACTCCTGTTACAGATGCCGAGAGAAATGTTCCACAATGTGTGAGTATTACTGGTTTCTGAGTACAGGCATAGTGAAAGAAAACATCTTGTCCAGACTTGTGTCTGTTTACATCCAGATAAATATTATCCAGGTAAGTGCATATCCTGTGTTTGACTTATGACTTCAGAGACTTGAGGTGTTGCATGATATGTCATAGCAGCTGTCCTCCAATGGCCTTGGAGCCACTGGAACAGTGACCAGGTAATGGGGGTGGTGTGGAAAGGGGCACAGTGGCTTCATGGGGTGAGATGACTCTGTGAGCTTATAGTGGCTGGCGTGGGCAGCACCAGCACTTCCTTCTCACAAGAACACAGACAGGCCAGCTTTCTCATTACTGAATTACAGCCCCAGTGATGGAAACCTACCATCTGTTGACTAATCCACACCTGCAATAACTGTTCATATCCTTATAAAACAGTGGAGTTGGAGTGTGTGTGAGAAACACTGAGGATGCCTAAAAGAAATCCCTTTTGCTTCAAGCTAAGCTGTTTCCTGACTATGCCAACAGCAAACAGAGTGAACAAAACATTTCCCTGCTCTTGACAAGAGTTTTTTACAAGTGTGCAAGTTGTCTAGATACCTGTCTATTAACAAGCTTGCAAGCTGTTAAGAGATGGTTGTTATTTCAAATGAGATCAATCTTTTTCTCATAGGTTGTATTTCTAGACATTTCTTTTGCTTTCTTCTGAATCCCCCCCAGTTGATCCACTTGCCTCTGGAAATACAGTGTGCAAGACTGAGGCCAAGCCAGTGCTGAAGTGGGGGCAGAAGAATTTCTTCACACGTCCTATGTGACATTCCTGTTCATACACCCTAGAAATGTTAGTTTTTTTCGCAACAGGATGACATTGTGGACTTGAGTTCAGTTTGTCATTCACAGTAACCTCCAGTTCTTTTCTACAGTACTGCTCTATCGTCATCATGCTGTACTCATTGTCCCTGTGATTATTTATTTATGTGGGACGGTCAATAAATCTGGTTGTGGTGTTCAGCAGTGATTGTGCTGCAGCTCCCAGCTGCTTAAAACTGGAGACATATGAGGCAGCTCATGACTTGCTCCTACCACTTTATCCTCCAAGTTCCCAGGGAGGGCACTGAACCAGGTGAGAGCTCTTGGTCCATGGCAAGCCAAACCAGATCCTTCCCTCCCTAAGCACAGCAATGATATCAGAAGTAGCTAGACACAAAGAAGCCAAAAATAATAATAGTAATAAATAATTACAAAGAGAAGTCAAAACAGTAGATTAATATTGGTATCAACTTCCTATTGCTCTGTTCTGCTGACTGGCATTCGTTGTAGTGAGAACAGGAACCCAGAAGATGATGCTGACCAAGTTCAGCTACAGTACTTTGAGCAAGAGTGAAGTGACACAAAGCACGTTTTTAAGATTTCTCATTATAGCAACAGAAATAAGACTCCTAGAGTATCTTGAAGTGTGTACCTCACTTTTTAGTAAAACACTGAACACATCTCCAACAGAGCAATACTTCCTGTTCTGTCTTTGAACAAGTAAATCACACACAAATCCAAATAAAGCTTTATCTCAGTTTGTTGGATGACCAGCAGCAACACTACACATAAGAAACACTTATTTCATCCCTTCTTGTGACTCATGTTTATCCAACTTAGTTCTTCGTGTCCCTTTCATGTCAGTTAAAAGCTCTACTAAGAAAAATGGCACTGTGCATGACCCTAAAAGTTCACAAAGGGTTGCTAAAACGTTTAAACCTATCCAGCAAGGAGGCCTGCTTTCTGGCACATCAACACGAGTGATGCAACATATGCTGATGAACAGGTGTGTGCAACAGCCACACTGCTGAGCACCTGCACTATCTCCAGACTCCTTGTCCTAAGCTCCCTATGGATTCTCCATTTTCTAACTTAGCATACAATTTCTGTTCCCTCTATCTGAACTGGGCATTGAAGCAATGGTTCTCTTGTTTTCCTTCTCTCTTACCTCAACCAAAGTAAATTTTAAGATGCATTTTCAGATCTCCGGTCCTTTGTAGAGTCAGGTGAAGTGTTGAGGAGAGTGTTTTCCCACAGTGCTGAGATGCAGTTTTTAGGCTTTTCACCATGTAAGTCTATAGGGTTATTGCTGTTGCTCCTGTAGAGACAGAAGGGTAAAACAGTCTTACTGTTGCCACAAGTCTTGCAGATGGAGGAAATGTATTTCTGCATGTTAGAGACAAATTTAGAATGTGTGCCTCTAAGGGTACATACTCAGGTACTATGTCTGAGACTTTACAGTGTAACTGCTTTCCCAAAAATGTGTTTTCCTAAATGCAATGAAAGTATTTCTTTGCAATTATTTTGCTGTAAAAGCAAAGAGCTTTTACAAGCACTGTTTGGTCAAACTCTTGAATAAAAGAATTTGCTCGGAATGTGGAGTTTTCTGTATTTCCAAATTGTCCTGCTGTTTACTTTTCTCCCTTTCCTGAATCAGCTCTGCCCTTACCAGCCCTGTGAAATTCTGACACTTGTACATGGGTGAGATCCTGGACACTTGCCTTCACTCCAGCCACCACCAATAACCACAGGAGAATTCATCGCCTCCTCTGCTGGCAGGTGATGGCTGCTGTGCTAAAGAGTCTGCCAGGATGGGAGGACAGACTGGCAGCAGGACATTACTGTCTGTAAAAAGGTCCCATTATATAGTCTGAAGTGGCCTCCAGCAAAAAGACACAAAAGGGGTCTATTTGGTTCTGTACGGCTAAATATAAGGTAACATACCTAAAGAAAATTACCTGAACATCGTCTGCCAACGGCTGAACTGGAACCTGACAGCTGCACTGCAGGACAGATCCCAAGGTGTTAGTGACTGTATCTGGAGACAGGCTCTGTGCTGGGGCAGCTGGAGAAGCAACAAAATGCTGTGTATTGCCAGGACAAGACTGAGACAGTTTTGCTGATGTAAACTGCTGGTGCACTTGTGTCTTGAGTGTGCAGTCACTGCATCACAGGATGGGTTTGGGGAGTTAGGGCAGGCCCAGAGAGGCTGGGAGTGGAGTTGCATAAGGGAACAGAAAGGCACAGATGAAGTTTGCAGAGAACGAGGTGGCAGAAAAGCTGAATACGAACACTCACCAAAACTCACAGCACAGGAAAATGTAGAACTTGTACAATTGTGAAAATTTAATTAGTTAAATTCAGTCAGTTTCCAAGGGGTTCTAACAAGCATGTTCCGTGGCAGGTGAAAAACCTCGAGACGTTATCGCCACAAGGGGCTGCGGGGACAGTGTCCGTGGAAACGAAAGGGAGTGGGCACACACGCCAACAGCCGGTGAATCGTGCGGAAGTGCCGGAAGAGCGCGCACCTGCGCCGGGGAGCTGAGCACCTTCAGACGGGGCAGGGCCTGGCCCGGTCGGAGTTTCCACCACTTTGGAGAGGAGCCGGCGGGCCGGAGGCGAGCGGACAAGACGGAGTTCACCGCGCCGGCAGTATCTCGGGGCGGCCCGGCCCGGCCCCCCGTCCCCAGCGCCGGCGGAGCGGGGCCGCGCCGGGCCATGGCGGAGCGGGGCAGCCCCCGTGCCGCGCTGGGGGGACGCGCCGGGGCGGGCCGGCGGTGAGGGCAGCGGGTGGTGAGGGCAGCGGGCGGGCGGCCGCGAGGGGTCCGGGTCCGCGTCGGGGCTGAGCGGACCGGGCTGGTGGGAGCGAGGGGCCCGGACGGGTCACTGCCATCCCTATCATCTCTTCTTAGCGTCGTAACCGGGCCGGAGGCAGAGGGGCCGCGCGGAAGCCGCGCCGTGCCAGGGTCGCTGGAGCGCCGCCGCTGCCTGTACCTGCACACGGGCCGGGGTGAGCGCGGCCGGCGGGAGCCGCTCCCTCCGTCGCGCGGAGCGCAGCGTCCGGCCCGGCTCCCGCCCGGGCGCTCCTCTGTGGCTGCAGACTCACCTCGGCCTCCCCTCCAGCCTGGTGCCAGATGGTGGAGGTCCTGCTCGCCGCCCTGATCCTGGTCTGCAGCTCCGTGTCCTGCGGCTCGGCGGGAGGATACACCGGCCTCCCCGCCCTGGGGGGCATCTACTACTACCAGTACGGCGGAGCCTACAGCGGCTTCAGCGGGGCGGATGGGGAGCGAGCCCAGCAGCTTGACCAACGTTTCTACTTACTGAAGCTGCCCATTGCAAGGGCAGCGATGGTCGTGGGAGGGTGTCTCCTGGTCTTCCCTTGTGTTCTATTTTTGGTTAGTGTTCTGCAGGTCCCGTGGCACTTCCCAGCATGGCTGCTAATTGAATGCACCTTGTACATAGTGATTGCAGTTGGCACAGTGCCTGCTCTGTACTATTTCCTCCATTCTCTGCTGAGCGTTTATAATTCGTCAGTGTGCAAAGAGCGAGAGCAGCTTTATCAAAGCAAAGGCTATCAGGGCTTCTGGTGCAGCCTGCATGGGGCAGAGATTGCTGCTGGCCTATTGGGCTGCATGGCTGCCATGGCATACCTGCTCAGTGCAGGCATAGCTGTCAGAGATTACAGGACAGTTCATGAACAGAAACAGAAGCCATTGCAACTATAAGAACTTTCAAATGATTCCTCCACTCCAGTAATGGTCTTGATTTTTGCCAGTCTCCTCACTGAGATGAAGCAGTATACTTTCCTTTCTTCGGGACAGTACAGCCTTAATGCTACAGAACACTCACCAGGCTGGCATAGCTCTAAATATGGTAGAGTCAGGCTATTCCTAACTTGAATTTGCATTATTGAGTTATTAGTGTCTCAAAGCTGATGCAATTGATTGTCTCTGCTTCACAGGCAGCCCTTCCCTTCTCCAGTGAGACCTTGATACAAGTAGTGCCACTACATGCATCTGTCAATGCATGTGGTGGCAATACATGCTTTCAGCTTTTTGTAGCTGAAACTGTCTTTACAAAAGGCATGTGACTTCACTGAGAAAAGAGCTCTTAAAAACAAGTGACTGAGGCCCATGGTTGTGACAGCTAAATATTGCCTCCTTGTAGGTCTCTTGGAATCAACAGACAAGGGTGAACATGACATTTATAAGGCCTTGAAAAAATCCTGAAAAAACCTCTCAAACTCAGTCTAACTTGTGATACAATGCCTTTTCAAACTCCTGGAGAGGGTGCATTTATGTATGAAATGGTCTTTTTGTATAACTTCTATACAAGAGTTTTGCTTAAAAAGATGCCCTGGATTGGGATAATCAGACAAAAGCTTTATGAGATCAAATGGGTGATTGAATATAGGAGTATATAGTTTTTGAAATACATTTTCAATGTAGGAGTTGGAGAAATGAGATGGTGCTTTTTTTTTTGAAAAACTTTTATAGGAAATTTAACTGGGAAAAGTAGCACTAGAATCACCAACTGATGTCTCAAAATGAAATGCCACTTCAGAGCATTGTCCACTGTGTGCATTGCTCATATGAGGATGGAACCACCACAGTCTCATAGAAGAGTTCTGCCCATATTAAAAGAACTAAACATAACAGAAAAATGCTTTGCCTTGGATATAGCTCTTCTTTCACTGGCACAAATGACTAAATCCTCACAATTACCAAAACCATGGAACACTTAGAACTAGAGACACTAAAGTAAAACAGGTGCCAAGAATTTACAAGGACAGTCCTTTGTTGTCCTGTTTCTGTTAACATTTATATATTTCCTCTTGTTGCAACTACTTCTAGAGCTGTACAGTGCTACTGAGAGCAAGTTCACAGGGCAGCATTGCTCTAGCAGGAAACAGAAAGCTGCCTTAATAATTGGTAAGCCTAATTCTACCCTCACAGTGTTCTGAAAGAAGTTTTTGTCTGGAAGGCTGATGAGTGAAGTAGCACATAGAGCTCAGTGAATAACCTGCAGCACAGCTGCTGCTAGACACAGCTACCTTTGACTGGGATATTGCTGAGATTTTTTCCAGCACAGTAACAGAAACAGAATAGATTCTTAGATGAAAGTAAAAATCTTTATTGCTAAGTCAGCTGAAAATTCGATGCAAAAATACTCTTCCTTCCTGAACCTCTCTATACATCAGAATAAAGAATCAATGGACTAGGGTTTTCCAACAATCTTATGTTATTTGCCTTTCCAAAGCAATAGATAGGCCATAGTGCTGAGGGCACATTCATTGGACAACCTACTCCCATACACAATAAAAACAGGGATCATTATAGGTGCATGCTAGAGTGGGATACAGAAAATACTTTCCTTTTTAAAAACAAAAGCATGAAAGAGGATTATTTAGTAAACAGTTGGTACACTGCAATATTTAACATGCGCCAGGTCATATGAATAATTTAAAAAAGGTAATATTTTAAAATGTGAAAAAAGAGGAAAAATACAGTTAAGTCTTTAGAGAGCAATAGAACAGCAGACAATGATTGCACAAGACCAAAGACGTGATCTTGCCTGAAGAAAGGCCTTTGGCAAGTGACACAAAAGCCACCACAACTGTCTGGAAGGAGTGCAGAAACCCCACAGGTCCAAAGCCTTAGGTGTGGCTGAAGGTCCTGTGTACTACAAGAAAGATTTCAGACTTCACAGCAGCTTGTCCCCAAAAGATGGAAATACTTCCTACTCCTTGGAACAGGCTGTTACCCTCCTGTCTAACTGAAGAATCCAGTCTGGTATGAACAGTCTGTGATGCTGCCTCCACTGGGCCTGTTCCTTGTTCTGGGGCTATCTCTTACCTTTAACATGTGGGCCCCTGCTACCCACCACTCAATGTAACCTTTATGGGTTCCTTTTACAGAAGCTCTGGACAGCACAGGACAGGACAGGACAGAGTAGTGCCTTCAGAGTACCTGTCTCAGCAAGCATGCTTATCAGCAGAGCCAGAATTACTGAAGAGATGGACCAGCAACCAGCAACCTCCTCAGCCTTACCTGGCTGTGGCTTCGTGCAGTGTGGGAGGGTTTGCATTGGCATTGCTCAGCAGGGACAAAAATAGCCTGAGGACCTCAAGGTGAGAACCCCTCTCTAACAGCAAGTCTGCAAATGACTGGCACATTCTCAGTGATGTGGTTATGTGATAATCACATAGTATCTCTGCAAACCCCAAAAAAAAAAAAAATTGGGGAAGGGACTGGAGAACAGGAAGATAACTGGGAAGACACTTTCTATACCCTGCTATGAGTCCTTCAGTAGACTTGCTCTTTCATACCTGTTCCGCCTACAGCAGTGCTCCTTGGGAGCTTGAAATCTAAGGTAGTGTTAATAAATAAAGTAGGGGAGACATACAGGGAGGAAGAAAAACAAAAAGTAGTGGAGGGAAGCACTCTTTTCTATGAGTTGTCCTCACCAGACAGATGAAGATAACCCAGCCACACCACTGTCTGACCAATGTCAGAAAAAAACCCAAAACATTTCTTTGGATGACAGTGACCTTGAAGCATGTCTCAGCAGTTGGAATCTTGTGTTAGAAAATCCAAGACATTTGCATGAAAAAATTACGCCAGTGTCTTTGCTGACACCCAAAACTGGCCTAGGAAAAAGCAGCACTTTTTGTGATGAACAGGCACTATTTTTAATGCATGAAAAAGATTTTGAATGACTGAAGAAAAAGCATCACAATGCTCTGGCTGAAATGGAAAAGGAAAAGCTTAATCCTTGGAAGAAGCACATGGAAAATATGTACAAACTGCTTGAGGACACCAGCACTTGCCTTAGTCAAACAGAGAAAGCCTATTTGGAACAGGTAAAGTCAACTCAACCTGTGCTGCCTAGAGTCCATAATACCAGCTTCACAGATACCTGTGGATTCTGCCTAGAGTATAAGAAAGATAACAAGCCATGTCTTCCATGACAGTTCATACCCATAGAAAATAGGAGCTGGCTGCATTTAAACTCCCTTTTTGCTTCAAAACTGGAGACAGCACTAGAGAAAAAGTCTAAGTAGGAATTCCTTCAGTTCCATTCTGCCACTGCCTCTAAGAGGTACAGTTCAGAAATCTGCATGCTCCATTGCAGAGCTGTGTTTTCCTTAGTCCTTCAACACTGAACTAGGTAAGAGCCATTCATTACTAACTCCTTGTGGCAATTCTGCACACAGTACTACTGACTCAAACTGGCAAGGACACACTAGACTTTCCACATCAGTGCAAGAAATAGAGACCTGATTTGCATTCATATGTGCTACTTAGAGTGCAGGGCTTGTCAGAGTCTTACTCAGAAATAAGGGTTTCTGTATCAGTCCCATACTGAATGGAAGTGTTCTACAGCCCTTTCAGATAGCAAAACTGTGAGGCTAGGCATAGCTATTTGGTAAAATTATCATCAGTGACAGACTCAAAAGTTGCAGTTGAATACATTGGGATGAACCTTTCCTGCATACTTATATGATGATAACATGGAAGAGTTTCAGGGTTTAGCATTTGAATATTTTCTGCTGTTTTTCCTCTGCCTAAAGGATTCAAATGCTGTTGTTTCTGTGATTTTAAGAATTAGCTTCAACCTCCAGTTCCAAATGAAACAGGCATTTAAACAACAAAAAATTGCGAGAGTTTAAACTTTGCAAAAAATGGGGTTGTTTCATGATTACACTGCAACTAGCACAAAGTATATCCTAAAATGTTGCTCCTCATGCATGATAAAAATACCTTTTTCCTAGTGAGATGGAATTCAAGGTGCTCTGAAATCTCAGTAAAACTCCATTAGATTTTGTCAAAAGATCTATATTGACAGAATTCCACAAATAGTCTGCATAGTATTTCCTTCTGAGCAAGGCTTAAATTTGATCCAAAAATAGACAACTCAAGCCCCTCAGATCTCTTCAGAATAAATGTTTAAGTTTTCTTCATAAATATCATTAATGAAGAAAAGGCACTAGCCCACATCTCAGTCAGGATTATTGCACCACTGACATGACAAGGACAGCTGCTATCCAGCTCTGTCAGAAAGGAAGACAGATCTGCATGCTGCAGAGGCAGTGATCTCCACAACCCTTATACAAGATGATGACATGGGCAGCCAACTTACACTCTTCACCAAAATCCTAATGGAAACACAAGGCATCTGAGTGCAGACTAGCCAGTTCATCATTAGTAGGACTGTTTTAAACGTATTTTTCAGTGCTGATAAAAACGTTAATACGATGAAAAGTTTAATTTTTGCTTTTGTGCTGAAGGCTAAGCAGGAACAAGTACACTTTCACCTTGTTTGCGGCCAAATTGGGCACATACCACGAAATGCTAGTTGTTTTGTATTTGGAATATGACTCCTGCTTCCAGAGGCAAACAAAGACACTGCAGCTGACAATGCAGAGGTTTATGTTGATGGAAAAGAACATTGGATGCTTCTGCCAGTCTTAGAGCAGCACACCACCGTTTACAGCTTGGCTCTTCTGACTGAACACTGAGACAAGCACAAGCTCCTGTCTTTATTCTATGTCTTCTGCAGAAAAGGAGGCCTCTACTGTGAAGCATCCATGATGAAGGTGGCCAGGTTGCTGCTGAGGTGAATCTGTGCTCTGCAACTAGAACCACTGGATCTACACATTGCCTTAATCAACCAGTCCTGAGCTGATCTTTCCTATGCTCCATATAAAATGCATTGGTTGGCACCTGCATATCACTCAGCTATATATTTTCTCATCCTGCACAGAATGATCCCACCATAACCTTCACTTTCCCCTACACCAGTGCTCATCAGAACCCTAAGTCCTCCACTGTCCTAAGAACATCCATTGGGAAAAGTTCACAGCATACCTGCTGTTAGGTGCTTTCTCCCCTTACCCTAAATAATAAAGTGCTGGGCTGAAGGGGAAAAAAAACAGCTTAAGTGCAATAAATAAAAGTGCTTGCAATTAATGTAGGAAACCATTCTCAGGTCAGCTTCATTGCAACTGGCTGTATTCTTTCAAGGAATAGAAAAGTCAGGTGCTGGGGAGAGGGGTGGGACACGGCATCAGAAATATTCACAGGACTCTAACCACTGAGCATTTCTCTCTCTCAGCAGCCTCCTCACCCCACACACACATACACTAGCCCCTTCTGGCAGAACCTCATGATTCAAGGACTTACCAGACAGTCCCTAACACAGAGCTCAGCAGCTGATCTGCATGCTCATAGGACAACTGAGACACTACAGTGGTTAAGTGGACAGCCCAGACGTTGACCTTCCTGATTCTTCCTCAACTCCATTAAGGAAGCAGCAGGTGTCTGTACTCCTTGCAGATCCCAGCTCCCTCAGAGGGCATGACAGCCCTTATGAAACAGAGCTTCCTAGGACAGATAATGTGGGAATGGTACTCATAGGGTTACAAAGCTGTGTCAAACTCATCTGGCAGCGATGCTGC